GCATAATTTACTAGTATAGTTTCCTTTACACTATTCTAGGAAACCATAAAGTTGATGGAACATGAAGTTAATTTCCCTCCATCTATCCTTCACAGACCACTACACAAATGTATCACTGTCTTAAAGACATACAGAGTAAGACAATTCCTTCTACTGTCCACATTTTTCATCACTCCTTTGAGATCACCCTATGGTTTTTAATCTTTTATTTTTATTTACTGTTGAGAAGAAATATTTAAGATGGCGCGTATACCTTTTGGCTGCTACACATCAAAAGTTTAAAGGTTTCTTCTTGAACAGGGCATCCTTAAAATTCTTTTTAGAAAAGCTCCCGAAAATCTCTCTCTCAAAATAGACATCCTTTTCAACCATCCCTAACAGGACTGCTGGTATTCTAAAGCTGAGTACAGTCTTCCTTTGTTCCCAAATCACAGTCAAGTTTTCTTCAGGAAAGAAATGGTAGTGCCCTATATCCTTACAAGGACTACCTACCATATATAGTGAGCATGACAAATTAAAATCAATTTCAAGTCTGTAACTGGAACCATAACTTATATATATATTCACTCAGTGCTTACTTCTGAAGCAACATATATATATATATATATATTTACTGCCACCTCTCAAGTATGAAGTCAGTTCTTGTTTGCAGAATACATGCACAGATACCTCTGTGTGTAAATTACCAATCTGAAGGCTGTGATGGCCATGTCCCAGATGATCAGCTTTATTTTTTTTTCTTTTATCTTTTTTTTTTTCTTTCTTTCTTTTTCTTATTACAGGATAATAATCACAATAAAACTAAAGAATAAGTCAATACTGACCTCTATCAATGACACATTTTAGAACACTTGAGTTTTAGCTGGTTCAGGCAGAATTGATAGCAGAGATTAGAACCAAAGGTAAAACACAGCAAGAGAATTAGAATAAAAAGCAACAGCTTCTGTCGAGTTTAAGTCAGGGAGAATAGCAGCAAACCTCCTTTGGACTGTGGTCATAACCACTGTGACACAAGTTGAACGCAGAGACTGTTAGAGCGCGTACTTGACACAACTAGATCCTGTTTGACCTAAGAAAAAAAAAGCATAATTGCAGCAGACCCAAACAGCAGCAGCAGCAGCAGCCGGGCAGCCAGCGGTGACATTCCACCCCACAGGAAACAGAAGCCTTATAGAGCACTCACTTTCCCAGGAAGTCCCACACAAACCCCCCTACGTGTTGCGGTGCAGGGACTGACACCTGGTAGGGAGGGTGCAATTTGCAGGAGGCGTGCTTTCTGAGAAAAGGCATAGTCAAAAAAACCCCCGCACGTACAGAACAAAACAACTCATGGAACCAGGACGTGACAGTATAAATGGAAAGAAAAAGCGAGGAAGGAAACAAAACACAAAACGAGAAGTTACAGAGAGACAGGAGATTATGGAATGGCAATACAAAAAGCAAACAGTTAGTTATAAAGAAAGCGAATAACCAGACAGCTGCAAAACCCTCTACACCACCACAATACAGGGTCAGAAACAAAACTTATTGGGCTGTTCACCCACAGAAAAAATATGGACTTATGGCCCACCTCCCTGTAAGAAAAAGCAAAAACCTGCCCACAGAGAATATAAATTAACGAGCTTGTGCTTTCAATCTCATATTGACTCAAGAGTATTTTTCAAACTTTTGCATAACATGAACCATATTTAACACTTATTTTTTTATATTTTTCCTCCCATTCACAGCTGAAAAACAACATCCCCCACCCCGTAATTGCAACAGTTACTGAAAAGTGGAAGCATTTCCCTCTTTATTTTAATTTGAACTGAAGGCAGCTTTGCCATCACTGAAAAGGCTTAAGAGTTTTCTGCTTTTCATTTCATCTTCTTCTCCTCCCATTTTTTCTGCTTCCCTGTTCCCCTGTACATACCTCCCTAGCAGACAACTCATTTCTCTTCTATGGATGGAACCGTGTTACTATTTCTCTTCTGACAATGCATGGTCTAGTTGTCACATGTAATTATCATAAGGGAAAACTCCAGGGAGAGACTCTCTCTCTCGAAAAATTCTGGGTTTTTTTAGTACAGTTATTCTCTGAATGTGATTTATTTTTTCTCATCTTGCTCTATATGGAATAATAATGGTTCCTGATAGGCACAGCACTATTCACTGTTTGCTTGCTGACAAATGCTTCTGAAAGCACTAGGGGATTCTTTGCACAGCAGAGTTTGAACAGCTGTAGAAGCATTAGAAATCAAGATAAATTCTACTTCACTCTGCACAGACTACAGGTTTAGGAAGGACTTCTACAAGGCAGAATTATCTATTCTTTTCAGGAAACCAAGACTCTAGCTCTAACACATCCATGTAACACGCCTGGATATATCAGTTCAGCCATGAAAATACTTTATAAACAAGCATGGTAGACAAAACCAGGTCCAACCTTTACATTTAACAGGCATATTAAAATCTCTGCTTTGTGTAAAAACTCACAAGGAGAAAGCAAACTTCCAGAGACTAGGGATTTGGGTGACCAGTTGAAAACAACTAAGGCCAAATAGAAATCTCAACAATTATTCAGAAAAAGATAAATTACTAGTCAAAACGTCACTACAAAGTACCTGAAACCTTGCATCTTTTACTCCAGTGCTGTGCAGTTCTACCTGAAAAATCATTTCAGGTGTTGATAACTTTGCTAATTCACCACATTAACAGTGTGCACCTTAGGTCTCTAGATTTTTAAGACCCTTTCCATTTCCCCTTAAGAGTGGTTAGAGAACATTAATATTATTAGATTTTTTTTTTTTTTATCCTTGATTTATATGGCTGCTGGCAATCACATGATAACAAAAATAGTCTTTGACACAGCTGAAATACCTGTTCTAATTACCAGAAATAAAGGGCATACTCTGTTATTTCAGCAATGGTAGAAAAGATGACCAATTAAAAAAAGAGGACCACTATTTTTTTTGTAACAGTGAAGATCAGGTGGTAAGAATGAATGGGTAACACTGAACAGTCAAAGTATTCACCAAATTGTTATGGAATGATGTTCAGTCATTTGGGGGTTTTATGCTTTCATTGATATAGTAAGAGTTTGATCTGTGACTGAAACAGCAAGAAACTATCATTTTAACATGAAAAACAGTAATTGCTTTGAAGATCTCTGGAACTGCATCTTTTCAAAGAAAAAGTTCCTTCCTAACTCTTTGAAGATTGTGTGCTAATGATTTTATCTGTAAAAGAGGAGGCTCATCTTCATTTCTCTTGTTATTTTTGCTTTGTAGGCTATCAACTCTTTTGATTATAGGCCAATTATATGTGTATATTCAGTGTTTGACACTGCAAGTCCCAATCTTGATTAGAGCTTCTGAATGTAAATGTAATAGAAAAATCAGACTTGCATTAAAAATGTGCATAAGAAAATTTTCTTCCTGCCATTCAACCTCCTCTGTGAATCAGGTTGAGGAATGATGAATATTTCTGACTTGTTTTTCCTAAACAGTAAATACTTCTGCACACAGAAAAAATTAAGGTACTATGAACATATTTCTTCCCCATACATTACTTCTAATACAAGTTTGTTCCTTATACCCTGATTCCTAGTCAACTTGTAAGACCTAAAATGATGACATAGTGAACCTCATGCCTAAGGTGTGCACCTCTAAGAGACTGAAAAAAAATCACACAGACAAATATGACTTATAATTGCTATTTAGTTTTTTCATGTCTATATTTAATGCACCTACTCTATCAACCTATTGCCTAAATGTTCTGCTGAATATATCACGTTTCAATGGGCTGCAAGTTACATCACTTATGAAAAAAGGGAAGACAGTTAAAAAGGACATATCCTCACTTTTAGGTGTTCAAGCTTACACCATAGGTATAGAGAATTTTGGTCAAATAAAACAAGAACTTAAAACTAACAGATGCTGCTTACAATCACAAAGAGAGAAGAAACCCAGCTGACAAGTTGAGCTCTTTCAGAGCTCTGCCACTTTCAAGGAAACAAGAATGAGCTTCTTAGAAAAGAGTTTTTCAAATCATTCAGAGGCCCATAATTTGACTATTGTCAAGCCAATGAACAATAAACATTGTCATCACACAGAACCTGAAATGTCCTCTACTCAGTTGCCCTAATCGTCCTGACACTAAATGCACAGTAGTTAAACAGTGATAAAATAGAAATTAGAAAGACTATTCTGGCACAAATCAAATGGGAATAATCAAATTTTTATTTTGGTGTTCCAAGTTATTCTTGACTGCGAATGATAAAGTAAACAAAAAAACTCAAACAGGTATTACTGCCTAGGAACTCCCTCTTGGCCCACTGTAAGGTGAGAAAATGACAGAAAACAGAATTTGTTTCAGGTATTTCCCAAGATCTACTCTTTAGAACTGTGATGAAAATGTAATGGAATCATAATAAATTATAATTTCTGTTTGGGACATTAAAGTCTAGAAAAAAAATATCAGAGCACCCTGGCACCAACAGAAAGATGTAAAATGTTGAAAAGCACTGAATCACATTTTGTTTGGACAAAAGCAAATCTGTTCATTTGGCTTCACATGAGCCAAGGTTTACCTGTGTCCCTACCAGTACAAAGAGTCTCAATGCCCCTTGTCAGAAGAACCCGAGTAACTAGTATCACAAGCTCTTAAAAGTAATTTTTCTTATTTGCTTTTTGGAGAACCATGCCTAAGGAATTTATTAAATCAAAAGAACAAATTGCTCTCTAAACAGACCACAGTGTCAGCAGCTTTTCCTACCATCTCCATTCCCTTACAGTTCTAGCTACCCTTCTAGTTCTATCTATATCAGCCAGGTAATGAAAACAGGCAGTACGACACCTTTTTGCTTACAATTTACCAAAATAAATGACTGAAGGCAGAAAAACTCTAAACAGACTTTTGCAAAATAGACACTCTAAGGTTTTTAAGACAAGAAAAATGGTAAGTTATCTCTAATTTTTATCAGCTATTTTGCTCCTCTAGTAACTTTATACCATTCTCACCTCTCCAGTTCTGCTATCTTCTTATCCTTATCATTCTTCTCATTTTCCATCTCTTTCAAGATTTCCAGAAGACGATCCACTTCTGCTTGAGCCTTGCTAGATTCTTCCCGATACCGTGTTACCTCCCTTTCCAGTTGCTGCATACGATCACTCAGCTCTGGGCTGGCCCTAGCCTCCAGTGTTGCTTCATGAGCCTGTAAGAGAAAGGTTCAAGAAAAAATTCTTCATTCACACATATGTATTTTACAGATACTATGATGACTGCAAGATGCTATCCAGATATCTATTTCAAAATGGCAAGATTAATTATTAAACAGAAGTAAATATGCAGTGCATATGCTATTTTTAAGTATGGGGAAATAGTTTCTAGAGAAAGAAAAAATCAGAAACAAATTTTTTAATTCAGTCTAAAAAAAATGTAAATGATTTTTTGATCTGAAACAGAATCGACAGAGGAAAGCAGTAAAAATATGAAAAAAATTAAACTTCTGTGAAAGGAAAGAAAAAGTAAGTGTGAGTGGGTATAAAATTTTCAAAAATACATTAAAACAGTGATATGACTGTAGAATTAGTTATCAGAGGTATTTTTCAGCTAGATAATCTACAAAAATGAATCACAGGTTAATAGCCTTCAATAACTAGATGCGTATGCAAGGTGTCAGATGGATTTGCACGGATGGTGCTGATGTACTGAAGTCCTTGCTAGTTACCTGAGCTGTACAGACTAGGACTAATATGAGTATGGCTACTTACTGAAATAATCTTTGCCTAGTAATCTAGGAAATATGATTTTTCAAAATCAGGCTATGGGAACAACTAGCATCAGAGGACTGAAGATAAAATGACCCCAACAAAGAGGTTTGTGGTTGTTTTGTTTATAAAAGGCTTGGTTTGTTACAAAAATCACTTATTAGTAAAATTAACTCAACAGTTCCCAAGCATATTAGAGACAGAGAAAAGGCAGTACTTATGCTGGAATTTAAACCAGCGGACTAAGGACTACCTTTTCATTCTCCTCCCTGCCCCTCTGCTCTTGAATCTTGAACTGCTATTAGATATCAATTAAAGCTACTTCAGAATTGCTCAAATTTGCTTCAGTGAACAGCCGGTTTGGTGGAGCTATTCTGCTGACCAAGATTGCCTGCAAACTCAAGGCCTTCCTCCTCTCTGAAACAAACCTACAACAGAAAAAAAGACTATTGACTTTTTCCCCCGCTCTGTGCAGCTGCAGAAAGTTGTGTTACAAGCTGCCAATGTTCTGCTCCAAAGCACAGTAAGTCTAGATCCAGTAGCATAGGACCCTGTTGCTTTTAAAGGTAATTGGACAGGGCAGCAGCATAAAATTCAGGGTTAGAAGCTGCTGCTTCCAAAGAAGCAAACAGCAAAAATACACTTGGCTGAATCTGTTTAGTCATTCAGTAAAATAAGACTGAAGGAAAATATTCGTACATTGAGCCCAACGCTTTTGCCTTGAAGTCTCTTGTTTTTAATTAGCTCCACTAAAACCAAGGCCACATTCTAGTGAAATCCAAGAGAATCTTAGAGCAGAATATTCTAGGACTGAAGAACATCCTGATGCCTGTCTTTACTAGGACACTGTGACCTTGGGATGGATCTATGTTTCCCAAATACTGGAACGCTTCACATCCTGCAGCCTTGGCCCTGCAGTTCCTGCCTGAGGGTTGATGCTAAACTGTTTTGGTTTTATATTTTAAAAGCAGGAATTCCAGAAAGCTGGAAACCTGCACAGTATTTTATCCTAGAACAAAATGCCTGGCAATCCCCAGGTCTCCCAGGCAGGTCTCCGCAGGAGTGCTCAACAACCACAGATCCTGGAAGAACAGAACCCTTTCCGGAGGCAATGCATTTAGGAAGACTTGAAAGGCTCCCTCCTTCTGACTGACTTTTAAGTCAAACCCTGCCACTCCTCTGTGTCTGAGCTGTAAGTCTGAAAATCTTGATTCTGAGCTTCTGGCTGAGATCTGGCTGCAAGCGCATCCCTGGGTGAACCTGGAAGCTTTAAGAAGCCTTTTGGAGTTAGGGCTGTCAATGCTTCCACATTCCTAACTGCCCCATAAACACTTTGAATTATACACCCTTGGAAAGGGCCCTCTACAGCAAGCAGAAGTCTAATTAACATGTTGCCAAGATGATGCAGACTCCAGGAGGACACTGCAGCAATGAGACCGACAAGTGTGTCGGTTCCATGAAGCATCAGGGAACATACTTTGCTTTGGAAGGTGAATACTGGTGGGTGTTCCTGAAATGCCTTACTGGGATTACCAGCCTGCAGGAAATACGAAATATTTGATGTAATATCCTTTTCAACTACACCTTAATTATAAACAAAAACTCCATCCCTCCCTCCCAAATACTGTTTTGCAGGAACTGGCAATACTGGTTTTGGGGGGTATCTATAAATCTTCTGGGGGGCATCTATATTCTCCTAAGAGACACAATGTATAAAGTTAAGTCTGGTTTTCACCAAATGCAGAGCCTGAATTCTTGTGTACTTGTTTTAGGTAAGTTTCCAACATCTCAAATTGTTTGTTTTAACAAATAATCCTCCAGGCTCTTTGAAGTCATCCAAAATACATAATCAGATAATCAAGAAACTTCTTAAAAAAAAAAAAAAAAAGCTAAGATCTTAGCCTGGATTACTAAACTCTCTAAAATTCAAAATAAGTTATAAAACCTAATGCAATTCTACTGTCACGACAGTCCTGATTTATATTAGTCTGTGCTAATGAAAGCATCTCCACAACGACCCAAGAGACACTACTGAGAAGAGGAAATCAATTTTCTTTTTTAGAAAATTAGCCAACAAGTCAGTGTGTCTGGTTCTTATAGAATGTAAGGGCTATTTTCCTGACATAAATTATTAGTTAAGACATGTAACACATGTTATTTGTATATAATGCACATAAGTATGGATACTTTCACCTAACACAAAGAGAACGTTATGCGATATGGTGTAAACTGGAGACCACTTCCTGAGTTGTGAATTACTGAGTGAGTGACTTTGGTCCATTTTGTGGGTTATGTACAAAATACGTGTTGCATGACCATATCTAAAATCCTACTGGATTCATTTATTGTATAGAGGAGAAAACCAATGCATTTAGAGGTTTCCCACAAACTCACATCAAGGTCTGGAACAGATGAAATTGGCTACCTGCCCAATACAACATTGTGTGAAATAATTTAGCAGTATTTTTTTTTTTAACCAAAAATAAAGTTAAACACAAATAATGAATTCCGATATTCACGGTAAAAAGCCCACATACAACATCTCCCGCCCACCAAAGGTGTACAAAAACTCCCAACCAAGGCAGTAATTTCATTTTCAAACCAGAATGGATATACAAAGTGACAAATACACTAAGACAGTTTCTGCAGTATTAAAAGAATGTAAAAAGTGCATTTCCATAGGTTCCATTTTCAGTTCTGCCTAAGACAGTGTTCCTAAATCTTCAACCTCTTAATACAGTCACAAACACATGTGAAAATGTATAAAAGTATGATAAAAAATAAATTGAAAAAGTTGCTTGCTTAGGGTGAAAGGAACATTGCAATTTCTCCTCCAACTATGAGAAATAAGAAAAGGTAGGTCTACACAGGCCATTGAGTTTACCTGATTACAGCCAATTTTAAACTCTTAACTGTTACTACTGACCCTGCCATGACTGTTCAGTGTGGAGTCAAGCAGGTGAATTTAAGCTACTCTGAAGAGCACAATCAAACTTGCGCGTTTTATTCTGCATTGATCTGCATAAGAAACAGTTGCAATTTATCTAGAAAACAGCACTTGCTTAAGCTATGCTTTTATTAGCAAAGCTCATCTGATCAGTATTAAACTTCGACAGTGTGAATTTAATTTCAAATTCTAAGTGTTTCAGGACTGAGAAAAGTTTAAGCTTACTACTAAGTTTAAGCTTAATACTCTGGATGTGCTCTCAAAGTTCTTAAGAGGGACTATAAACTAAGAGGTGGTTTAACAGCTTTCTGCTTTTCTGCTCTTAGCCATCATTTCCCATCTGGAATGTGGTAAGTGATGGGGTGAGTGCTTCAGGTACCTAAAGAATAAAAGAAAGAGTGATTGTTCCTCAAATAAATGTACTATAACTTCTATTGCTTCCACAGAAAATCAGCTGACAGATCTAACTTCTACAACTAAAACAAAGATGACCAATGTTTCACAGAAATAGCCACTATTTACAGATGGAGAGAAACACATTAAAAAGAGTTTTCTAAATTGGTATTTCTTGTGCCAAAAAACTCTTTACTAAGCGGAAAGGTAATCTTACACAGCTTACAGCATGCCAGAGGCAGGGAAGAAAACAATAGCACAGATCTAATTCAAAAGTTCTAAAATATAAATAAAAATTCCAAACATTACAACTAAGATTCCAAAACAATATTCCTAAAAGATTAACTAAATCATACAGCAAATAATTCACAGCAAACACTTTCTACTTTTACCTATGAATTGAGACAGTAAATTCAGTTTAACATTTCGCATACAAATGTTGCCAAGAACTTTTGGCCAGAAAGTAGAAGTTCCCAAGAATCTGAAATCTCATTTTAATTCACCCTCCCACCTCCAAGGGTGCCTCACATCTCCTAAAAATAGAAAACGCGCACAACAAATACAAAAATATATTATGACTATTCACTGCAAAAGGCAAAACACATATAATCATTTTCTTTATTTTTCCAATTGTGATGGCAGCAACTCAAATGATAAAACATGTGAATTGCCTTCTATTGTGTCTTTATTAGTTTCAACAAAATTATAAATTTGAAAAACAATCAGACACACTCCTCTGCTCCAAACACCATGTACTGTAAACACAGCTTTTCAGAAAGGCTGTACTGGAAGTAAAAGGTTCAGTGAATTCTCTGACAGACTATGTACTGGAAAACTCGAGTCTGTCACAAAGGGTTGCTTGTTACTCTATTATTGACAAAATCTTTTAACAGGTTAGTCTCTGTTAACATGATTGTAAATTTTTGACACTGAATAAGCAAGTATTTGGTTGGAATAATTTTATAAATAAGGATGAAAGTCTAAATAAGAGGAAGATACCTTGAGAGAACCCACTACTGAAAAAAAATTCTCTCTTCAGAAAGATGAGTTCCCATAGTCTTTATCAACCATTAACAGTTTGCCCTCTTTGGAATTTACACCAAC